AGAAGGTTGGAGCAGGCCATCTGCTCCAGCTGTGTGCCCAAGCTTGGGGAAAGCCCAGGGTCTCTATGTACACACAGACATAGGTGTGCGTACACTGGAGTTTCCTTCCGGGGGAGGTCATGGCTGGGTGCAGGCGGGCCACTCGGCTGTAGCCCAAGTCCAGCAGGCAAAAGGAGAGGCCATTGAGGCTGGCTCTGCTGCCAGGGCTGCTGACCTCTCAGGCTCCAGCCACTTTGAACAGTCCCTGGGAGCTAGGAAGGGCCTGAGGCAAGAACTAGGTGGTGACTGGATCCGAGGCTGAGGAGCCAAGGTGTCCCTCCAGGCTTTTCAGGCCATCCAGAAGCGCCTGCCAAAGAGGACAGCACGGCGGCTCTGCTCCGGACAGGCTCAGGAAGCAGACTTAGAAGCCCTGTGCCAGGCTTGCTGCAGGCAGCTGAAATGATTAAGCCAATTAAGCTCATACAAACAGAAACAAGACGGTTGGGTGCTGACCCCTAGAGAAAGGGTGCCCTGGGACGCAGGTGCTTGCATCAGGTAGGTAGCAGAGAGCCACAGCCTCAGGATGGACCTACAAGGCAAACCAAGGCTTGAAAGGGCCTGGAGACACGCCCCCCCCAACACACACACACACACACACACACACACACACACACACACACACACACACTTTTAGCTGAAAAAGTGCCTGCAAAAGAACCACCCTGGGGGCTGAAGACTGGGAGGCTAAGGTTGGGTTTGCAAATATGCAGTAGTCTCAAAAATTCCACAACAGGGTGAGGTTGGAGAAGGCCCCAGTGCAGGTGGTCCAGGCTGCTCCAAGGGTACCCCCAGCCTCTGCAAGGAGCTGGAAGAGGAAATTGCTTGAGGCCCAGGACCAAGCTAAAGAAGACCCTGGCCTGAGAACACCGAGATGGCTGTGGATTTTCAAAGTACCCTCAATTTTCCAAAGTGGTGGGGGCACCTGGCTTTCTGGGGAGTGAGGGGTGGGGGTCTCTGGGTCAGGTGGGTGTTCCTGTGGCCCTGTTGGGACCTCTGCTTGGGTTGGTGGATGTGGGGTACAGGCGGCCCTGAGGCGCCCCAGCGAATGGCTGGGGGCGCAGGTCCGAGATGCTCCCAAGCGTAATTATTTGATCTGCAGATGTAAGTGGAATTTATTGTAACAACAAATATAGTGATGTCAAAACCCAACCTTGGATTGAAGCCGGCAGCCAAAGGGGAAGTGTATTAATTTCCAACAGCATCTCAGGCCAGAGCCTATTAGAACAAGCTATTCTTCAGGCCCCCCCATCAGAATTAATCATTGGGAGTTAATTTGAAGCTCAGACAAGTTGCTGTTAATTTAGTGCAGGGAGGATGGGATGGAATAAAAAGCTGAGGTGCTGGCCGAGCCTCGTGGGTCTCATTAATCAGCCAGCTGAGACGGCCTGGCTTGATTACAATTTGCAAAAAAATTCATTAGGGCCCGGGCGATTGACAATTTTTCTCTCTGCCTGTGATGTGACTCATTAGGCAGCCAAATGAAAGCCATGATGACGGCCATGATGACAGCGGCCATCAAGCGCCGCTTGTTTATCTTCCTCCCCTGGCCTGTCTCCCGGGCCTCGGCCTCCCCGCCAGGCTCTCCGGGCGCCCCGGCGCTCAGGGGCTGGGGAGGAATGGGGTCAGCGCCCCCCGAGGGCAGGAGGGCCGGCGGTGGCGCCGTGTCCGCCAGGCTGGGGAGCCCTGGCCCTGTCCTCATGCTTCCCAAGGGCAAGGACCGCGGGCCTGGAGAGGGCCCCGAGCCCGGTCGGGGAGTGGGGCTCCCTAAAGGCCGCCTCCCACTCCAGGGAGCTTCGCTTCCCCGCAGGGTTTGTGTGGTCAAGGCTTCGGGTCCCTGTGTGCCCCTGAGCTCTGCCATGGCTTTTGGAGAAGACGGCTAGGCGAGGCGTTACACCTGTTATGGTGGAAGGGCATATGGGGGGCACTCCGGGATCGGGATCCCAGGGAGTGCCCGCCTCTCAGTGCGTAGGTTGGCGCGGGAGGCCACACTCCCCCGTGTTCTCTGGCCCACCTCTGCGCCACCGGCCACAGTCCCCGCCGGGGCGCACATCCGGCTCGGGGGCACACTGGCGCGGTGGGGACGTGGGCAGCGGGGGAGGTGTCCCAGCGGGCCTCGAATGCCCGGGCCACGGCATGTGGCCAGTGGGGTCCTGCCCCGAGCAGATGGCGCCCACTCGGGACCGGTGCCTGCGCGCGCTGGCAGGCGGGATCCGGGAAGCGGCCGGGCCTTGCGGACCAGGCGCCGGGACAGGGCGCAATCCGGCTCTCCCAGGCTTCAGGGCGCCGGGTGGATGACGGCCAGGAGCCGCTGCAGCTCTCCGCGTCCCCCAGAGCCTGCAGAGGCCCTCGGAGGAACGGCCGCTCGGTTTTATTGTGTTCGAAACCCAAGCCTGGGCCGTTTTCCGCCACCGGAAATGTTGGGAACGCGGCGGGAAAGGGTGACTTGGTCGCTCCCAGCCTTCACCCTCCGCCTCAAGCTTGGGCGGAGGTCTGGGTTCCCAGGCCCTTCGGCTGCAGGGAGATGACGGGCTGTAGGTGGTAAAAATCAAGTCAATATTAGTATCGACCCACGGCGACGCGTTTCCCCCTATCAGGCTGAGAACCGCGCCGAGGGCCGACGCGACAGCTTCGCAGCCGGCTCCCCGGCCTCCCCTGCCTTCACTCGGAAGGCTGAGCTTTGGCGACGCCCCCCGCTTCTCTCGCTCTTCAGGCTGCTGGTTTGGTGGCCGCAAGGGCTATGCACCACGATCACCCTCGTTCGCCAGCTCCACGCCCAGGGGACCCGCGCCTGTCCACCGCCGCCTCCGGTGGGCCGGGCCACTAGCGTCGGGCACGGGCTTCGGGGTCGGGAAAGCAGCGGCGACGCTGGGGGCGCAGAGCCGGGGTGTGGCAGGAGCGAGCTTGGGGACCGGGGCACGCCCCTCCCGCGCGCCGAGACGGGGAGGCACCCAGCTCTCAGGCCCTTGCCGACCGACCCTCCTTTCGCCCTCTCCCCTTTGTGGCGCAGACTGTCCCCGCGCCCTTGGGGTGGGGCGGGGGGCGGGTCCCGCCCCCCTCCGACCCCGCCCGGAGGGGGAGGTGCCGGGCCCGCTGGCGCTCCGGCTCGCCTCCGCCTCCGAGCGGAGTGCCCCCGAGAAGCCCGGCTGGCCTTGGCTGGGTTTCTGCTCCTGTCGGAAGATGACGCCTGCCCGCAGCCTGATTTATGGACCCTCGGCTCTGCCGGCGAAAGAGCTCCGCTTCTTTTCGGGTCAGGCATGTTATAGGGAAAGGCGTTCCCTCCCGGCCCGTAGTCGACTCCGGGCACCGGGAGTTGGTGCAAACCCACCAATACCCGCACGCGCGTTCCCTCCTCTGGCCACACGCTGCCTCCTCCGGCCGAGGTTTGCCAGCCTAGTAGGTATTGATTAGGCTGTGCAAAAGGGGGACACGTTAGATTTCTAAGGTGAAAATTAGGTTTTCTTAAATTCATAACCCTACTGGAGATCTTGCCCTCCTAGTGAAAACCTGGTAAGGTGCTGTGTGGCCAAGTCCGGCCAGCCTGGAGACTTGGCCAGATGTTTACCCAGCACTGGTCTCGGACCAGTTGCTCGCCACACCCTGGCAGTGACCCCCCAGGACAATCAAATTCTGGACACACTTATGAGGCCCAGGGATTGGTCTCTTTTTTTTCCCCCCTCTCTCCTTTTTATTATTCACAAGACTGAAATTGTTTAAATGTCATAACTTATAAGAAAATAAGCTACATTGAAATAAATTAAACACAACAGAGACGTGCTTCAGACATGGCTCAGATAGGATACGCAACCCCAGGGGAAAAAGCCAGGCAAAACCAAAGCAAAGCAACGCAAAGCAAATTTCCAGGCTGCCCAACAGCGTCTGCTTTTCAGTCAACTCAAAAAAGCCAGATTAGAAACAAAAATAAGTTTAAAGCCCCAGTGGTTTGTTCTTGTGTTTTATGGTTTACCTTTGGAAAAGTATGGAAAGGTGGCGGCTAACCAAGGCAGATTACAGCAGACGTTTTTTGTTTTCTTCTGGAATGTGAGTGGAGAATATCACTGGGTGATTTTGGGTCCTATAACTTTCAAAATACTGCAGCTGATATCCAGTCTATATAGATATCTATGTACAAAGTAGGATAGTATAATAAATATTTCGTGTGTTTCCGGTGTGGCTGTAGCCCCTTCAAAAGCAGTCTTTTAAGCCTGTTTACTGAATATATTCTCAATTCTCTTAGGATGTCCATAGTAGGGGTGTGACTTTGAGTTTTGCTTCACACACAGTGGAGTCCACCACGGGTGCCCTCGGGCGCTGGGCCTCTGCGGGCGGGCCCTCAGGGCCGGGCTTGCTCCAGCTGCTGGTGCTGACTTCTGATAGCGAACCTGCTGACGTGCACCGGGATGGGGACGACGATCTTAGGGTTCCGGGAGGGCTCCCCTGTCTTGGAATTGGCATTGCCCGCCTTCACCCGTTTCCACTTGGCCCGTCGGTTCTGGAACCAGATTTTCACCTGCACCTCGCTGAGCTTGAGGGCGTGGGCGATCTGCGAGCGCTCGGTCAGGGAGAGGTACTTTTTGCAGTGGAACTCCTTCTCCAGCTCCAGCAGCTGCTCGCTGGTGAAGGCAGTCCGCCGCCGCCGGTTCTTGCCCGTGGACGTGGTGCTGCCCGCGGCGCCGCCGCTCGGCGGGGCCTCCTCCAGCGGGTGGCCGGGCTCTTCCTCCTTGTGAGCCGCGGGGCCGGTCAGATTGTCATCCGAGCTGTAGTCCACATCGCTCTCCAGCGAGAAGCTCTCCTCCTTGCCCTTCGGGTCGTCTTCCACCTTTGACTCGTCTTTCCCTTGCCCTCGGACAGCCCCGACTGAAAGCAAAACCAAACGGCGTTTTATTACATTTCGCACACTGGCCTTCCTCCCCTCTTCCCGCCGTCGCCTGGGCATTCCACCCCCACGCCCCCCTTGGCGGATTGTCTTTCTATGACATTAACACATTGTGATTTCCTGGCCTTTGAGGAGCAGAGGAGGGGTGGGGAGAGCGTGAGAAAGCTCAAAGGCGAGGAGGCAGCTCAGGCGACGGCCCTTTGCCCAGAACCATCACTCAAGGGGCCGCCAGGCCTCCTCCGCGCCCTCCCTGCCGCGGGAGCTTAAGGGGAAGTAGCAGGAGGCGTGAGGCCCAAGAGAGCATCGTCCCTTTATGCCGAGGTGAAGGCAGGGTGAGGACGGGGTGGGGGTTCACGGTCCGTCCTGCCTCCCCACAGTGAAAATTTAATGCACCTAAATTTCATCGCAGCAGGAGCGGGGGCTTAGGGACGTGCAGAGGCCAGAGCGCATCTTTTCTGAGACAGATGTGTTGGTCAAAGTGTGCGGGAAGCGTTCTGTAGCCTTGTAATATCCCGACACAGAGGCACACACACCGCCTCCCAGGAACCCAGCTCTCCCGGGCAAGCTGCAAGCCCGGTGGTGAAGGGGTTCGGTAAGTCTGGGCGCAGTCCCACCCGCCTGCCCTGAAGGCTGCAACTTACCCGGGACAGCCCAGGTCACCGCTCAGAGGGAGAGGCGGAGTCCGCCAAACGCACCGCCACTCTGATTCGCGGTCCCGAGCAGCGGCTGTTCCCGGGGCGCTAAATGCTCCCCCGGAGACCCCGCTTGTTGCGTGGCTCTAAATGCCCCCGGAGGCCCCGCGGCGCAGCCGGGCCGCGTCCTCCCGCTGCTCTGGCGGGGGTCTGGCGGGGGCGCGGCCTCGCCCCCTGGGATCCCGCGGGAACCCAGAGCCGGCCCGCCCCCGTCCCCTCCCGCCCCGCGTCCGGGCTGCGCGCGCCGCCGACTCACCGAGCGACGCCTGCACCGCCTCGGCCGCGGAGAAGGCGAGCAACGAGCCCTCCTTGGCCAGGAAGCCTTTGCCGTCCTCAGCGTCGGCTTGCAGCGCCTCCGCCTTGTCGAAGTTGCCGCCGCCGGGCAGCGGCTGCGGCGCGAACTTGCGGGCGGCGGCCGCCTCCTGGTGCTGGGGCGACGCGGAGAAGCCGCCGGGCAGCGTAGCCATGAGCGTAGAGGTGAGCGCCATGCCCTGCGCCAGGCTGGAGCAGAAGCCGGTGGGCAGGCTGGGGATCTGGTGGTGCGGGTGTGCGGGCGGCAGCGCGGGCTGCAGCGCGGCCTGAGGCAGCGCGGGCGGCGGCGGCGGCGGCGGCGGCAGCACCACCGGCCGGTAGGGCATGAACATGGGGTAGCCGGTGTAGACGAAATGGCCGGGGCTCGGCTGCGGCGGGCTGCCGATCAGCGAGTCTATGCTGAAGGCGGTGCTACTCCCCAGCGGGCGCTGCATCATCATCAGCGACGGCGGGAACGCTGCGCTCATAGACGCGCTCGGGAGAGGCCAGCGAGAGGCGAAAAGTCCCCGCGCCGCCGCCGGGAAGCCCGCCGGACGCCGGGAGCACCTCCAGGAGCGTCGGGCAGGCGCCGCGCCGGACCTGGAGAGCACGCGCCGCCGCCCCTCAGTCCTGGGCTCGCTGCATGCCTGGCGGGCGCAGCGCGGGGAGAGGCTGTGCGCCCCGGAGTGGAGAGGGCGCCGGGCCCCGCGGGCTCGCTGGAGCCGCCGCCCGCCGCCTGCCCGCCGGAGCCCGCGCGCGTTGCGTCTGCGGCCCTCGGCCCCGGCTAGCAGCGGTCCGTGCGCCCGTCTGCCGGTCCCGCCGTCCGCTGCCCACCGCAGGCCGCTGGGGAGCGCGCGGACCCAGCACACTTGTCTCCGGCGGGCGCCGCCAGCACCTTTAAATCGCGCTCCTCTTTCTCATTCACATTTTGCCTGCTGCCCAGCCGGGCTCGCCTCACGTGGGGCTGGGCGCCGCTGCCCATTGGCTGCGCCGGGCGGGGGCGGGGCGAAAGCGGAGCCCCGCCCCTCCACCCGCGCCGGCCGCTAGCGGGCTGCGGGCGCCACCGCCGGAGCGCGCGGGCCGGGGAGCCGGAGCCGGAGCGCCGGGCCCGCGCCGCGCAAAGTTGAGAAGGCGCTTGCCACCTCCGAGGCTCGGACGCCGGGCCCTGGCAGCTTTGCGGAGGCTGCCTCGAAGGGCGGCTTCCCGGGCTTGCACCCCCGCGGCTGGGCCCGAGGCGTTTATTCTTCCACAGTATTTGCCATGGAACAGACCTGCCGGGCTCTGGCTTGCGCTGGGTGCTCCAGCTCCGCCGAGGGTCCGGGCGGGTTCCCGGAGTTGGGGGCAGAGTCCTGCTCCCCCAGACCCGCCCCCAGGGCGACGGCTGGGAGCTGGCTGCCCCTGCCCGCTGCGGGGAGCCCGCCAGGTTGCTCCGTGCGCCCCTAGGTTCCTGGTGGGGCGGGGAGGCTGCTGGTTCCCCCATCCCGAGCTGGGCTCGCGCGTGAGCGATCCCGTCTCTCATTTTTCATGACATTCTTAATCATCACACCTATTTACACACTTTGCCAGCGCGCACCAAAATAACAACCACGATAATTATGATAATAAAGAGAGTCCTTTATCTGCTTCATCCTCGGGGAGGAAAGGGGGAGTTGCTGTGCCTCCAGATTGTATAACGTGAGGTTATCCTGATGAAAGCTTTATGGTGTTTGCTCAAATAAAAGCTGCGTTTTGTAAATAGGCGCTAATTAAGCACGTTGGGAACGGAGGGAGTGCTCACCCAGGCGCCGCCGCCCGGTTTCCAGCGCGAGGACCCGAGGGCTCGCCGTTCCCCTTTGCTGACTGCAGGATGGAGCCGAATCCCTCAAGATGTTCCCCTGTTCTCGACAATGGTAAAGGCCCCAAAATTTGAGAGTAAGGGGACAGGGGCGGAGGGGGGAGGTGGAACTACGGACCCGGGACCCGTCCCGCATGTTAAAACAAAAACTTTCAGCTCTTGTGTACCCTTTAAAAATGGAATCGTGTCTTGGCAAGGACAGACCGTCCAAAGCGCACCGGCGCCCGCGGGGCTTCCACGCGCCTCCAGGGCCTGGGTTTCCACGTCCCGGGTCTAGATGTCGGCCCTGAGCAGCCGACAGCACCGGGCCGGGAGGAGAGAGGGCATTGTTGCCTCGGTCATTAAAAATCAGCTCACGCCGAGGAGCTAGTGGTTGGGGAGTTGGCCCGTGTTGGACGTGTGTTATGTATCACTTACAAGCACATTTAATTGGGAGATAAAGATAAATCGATCTTTATGAATTTATCGACCCGATTCTTTAAAGCTCTTCTTTCTCGTTCTTCCTCTTTCTCTCAGCCTCGCCAAGGTCCCCCAGGGACGTCTTAATCCCAGACCACCTCCTCAGCCTGGTGTCTGGCCGGGACCCACCGCCCCCGCAGCGGGCCCTAGAGGCAAGAGGGGAGGGTGCGTCCTCGGCGCCCGGGACGCTGAGAAAACTCTCCGGGCCTCCGCCCGCCGCTCTCCCCTCCTCCTCCCCTCCTCCTCCTCGCCTCCTCCCTGCTCTCCAGCACCGCCCGGACAAAGCGGGCTCGAGCGCGTTCCCCCACTCCAGGCCGCAGTAATAGATAGCTCGGCAGCAGGCGGTTTGAAAGGAATTCATTAGGACGCTGCCTGCCCTGCCTCCGCGCACTTCACGCCCAGACCCCGAGGTGGCTCCGGCGGTGCGAGGGAAGTGAATTCCCGTTGGAATCCACGGGGGAGGAGGTGTCTGTGGGGTCTCCAGGCTTTTCCCCTCCTTCCTCTACTCCCACAAAAGAAGAAAAAGAAAAGGAAAATAAAAAGATCGAAGACCAGGGCAAAAGGCTGATTTCTTTATGGGCATAATAAATACTCCCTCCCATTATGAGATAGTTACAGTAACACAGTCTGGGGTGCCATTACCTTGTTTTTTTGAATCCTAAGGAAAAAAACGGCCGACTCCTTCCTTGATTTACGCGGCTGCAGCCGGGGCCCTTCGCCGCCGGCCCTGGCACGCCTGTGTAAGCTGTTTCTCACTTCGCCCATCCACTTTGCTATTTTGCCGCAAAAATATTGTCCTAGGGACTGATTACCCTCCGAGAGAGACCGGGATTCCTTTGATTATTTTGGTGATAATTCAACATTTAAAGTTCAGCAAGAAGATTTAGGTCCGTTGAATTATAGCCACACTTGAAATAATTTGATGGCATATTATTTGCATCCATAAATTGCGGTGGAAAGTATTGACTGCAGGGGTTATAATACTAATCTTCTTTTATTAGTGAGTTCAGATAATTCTCATCAATATGAATTTTATTTACTAGTGTGCTTTTTTTCTCGAATGCAGTGCAGTTATACTTTCTCATCTAATGCTTAACTGCTTAGAAAACGACTGCTCGCGTCGTAAAAGGATCCTTGTGTTTCGGCGTGATTAACAAGACTCATTCGGGGCACCTCAGATACCTGCCAAGCGTTGAGAGCGTGGGGACTGCGGATAATAAAAGCCTTTAAGAGTTTTTCCTCGGCTCCTTGGGGAGATTTATGGGCAGGTACATGGCTTATCCATCCTCCAGACTCACACCTGCTTAGCTCGGAACTGCTTCAAACTGCAGCGCCCTCCGTGACTCAGCTCGGCCCAGGCTGCGCGGGGAAAGCGCCGGGCGAGATCCTCGCAAGTTTGCTTTGAGACCCCTCCCCCTCCGATCAGGAAAAAGGGAGGGGGCGCCCGAGGGTGGAGCTGGGTCCTCCAACTCCAGTTAACTTCCCGAACTTTCTCCCGCCCGGGGAACCTCCGGCCAGAGTGAAGATTGTTCAGCCCCTGGGCACTTCACTTGACAGGTGCCAAGTTAGTGTCAGGATCATATTAAGCCACTTAAAGCCTCTGACACTCAGTAGAAGTGGTGGTAATTAAGTTGGCCCCTCGCTTCGGGGCTGTCCCAGTCAGAGTTAGTATGCAGGTGTGTGAGGGCTGAGTGTAAAATAGGAAACGCACAAGTAAATGAATATTCATGCAGCAAACTTGCCTTGGCCTGCCAAGCCCGGCCCGGAGGAGGGAACACGGCCAACCGGGCGCTTCGCTGCCGCCGCCAGGGTCCAGGTCGCGGGTGGTCGTGGAGAGGGGGCGGTGTGGGCGCCTCGGGTCTTGGTGGACGCGGGAAACATGCGGGCCTCGCCGGCCTGGTAGCCCCGCCAGCCCCCCAGTTCCAGGCGACAGGCTGGTTTCTCGGGCAACCGGGTTGTTTTTATTTACAGGGATTTTGAGCGTCCCGATCGTTTGGACATTGCCGCGGCAGTTGGGAAATAACCTGGGATGGGTTTTATTTATGGAAGGGCAATTGGGATTCACACCCAGCTAACCCAAAACAGTCCTCCCGAGCCCAAGACGCACTTACAAAGGGGTGCTTGTGTAAAATTTCCCATCAGACACACCAATTTGCAAGTAGCAAAAAGCATTGAAGCCTCATCTTTTTAAACTATTTTATTCAGCTTTTTTTTTTTTTTTTTTTTTTTTTTTTAAATCTGAAAGCCCAAAATAGACTCCATGTGGTTCTAAGTGAAGTCAGCCCCTGGCTGGCTTTGAAATAGCTCCTGCAATTATGTAAAAGAGCCATTCACCAACAGGACGGAATTAAAAGGGATCTCGCCCGCTTCCCTTTCATTGCCAACCTCTCATGTTTGGCTTTTCAAAGCACTTCCAACACGATGTCTTTCTCCGGGACAAAAGGCAGAACAAAAAAAGTCCCCAAACTTGTAAATTGAACGTCAAGGGAACTTTAAACAATTTAAAGCCCATAAATAATGATAAAGGGAACTGGCAAAAAAGGCAAACCCATTCAATTAATAGAGTTTCCCAAGCAAAGATCAAGTGGTTTATAAAATAAAAGTCTTTGGTTTCATTATTCTGCTCCTTGGCCATGCAGAAAGCAGGACAGGGGGTTTTCTAAAGCGCCCTGAAGAAGAAACACTTTGCGGGGACCGTGTGTGCCGCGACATTCTTATGTAGAAAAAGTTTGCTTTTTGTCCCCCACCCTCAAAGCAGAAACAAAACAACCGCAAACCAAAAATGTGAAGGGGAGGGGCCTCCTTTTTTTTTTTTTTTTCTTTTTGGGCATTTGCTCCGGAGAGTTGGAAAGTGTTCTCCGCAGGCCTAAAGGCCAGGGAACGTGACCCTTCGCACCTGCGCCGGCCGCTCTGCTCCTCTCCGCTCCGCTCCCGCGCCAGGGAACAGGCGGAGCCACAGCCCCGTGGCCCGCGAGGCGATATCTCGTGGCATCCAGGGACCGGAGGGTGGGGGTGACATCCTGCACAACCCGGGACCCCCAGGTGCTTGGGCGCCGTCGCCAGAGTGCACCCAGACGCGCGCTTGGAGCCCCGGGTTCCCCTGCACCCCACGTGGCCTGGCTCCCCCGGTGGGGGTCCGGATGTGTGAGGACGCATGCGGAGGAGGTCCTAGTTCTTTTTCCGAGCAGCCCTAATGGTTGAGGCTGGGGAGTTCGACCCTTCGCCCGCGAAGCCCCACGCTCCCGCGAGTCTCCCCGGGAGCATCAGCGTGCGGCGCCCGCCCCAGGGCTCCCAGCCTCGTAGGAGGGGGCACTGGGCGGAGGCGGCAGGAGGCTCAGGCCCCAGGGCTGCACTCGTGCGTGCGGAGGCCTGGGGTAGGGGCGAGCGGAAGCACCAAGGGCTCGGGCTTGCGGGAGCTGCGGCAGTGGCGTTCACTCCTGTCCCGCCCTGGTCTGGCTCTGGCTGGGGTCTGGAAGGGCTCGTCCCGTCCCGTGGGCGAACCCCAGCTCCTGGGGTGTTGGGGAGGGAGACGCGGGCCGCAGGCTTCTCACCTGGCCTCGTCTCCTCTCAAGTGCCCCCTCGGACTCCCGAAGCCCCACCTTTCAGGGACTTCAAACACGCCCTACCGCCCGGGCGCCAGGCTTTCATCTCCCGCACAGCAGGCATTGTTTACGGGACTTCACAGAGATGCTAATCCAGGGCCCGCTTGAACTTCGGCCTGAGAGGCTGGCAGAGGGCACCGAGGGGTGAGGGGTGCGCTGGCCCGCGCTGGGGGCCTTAGGGACTGCCCCACTGGCAGCCCTCCTGGGGAGCCCGGGTCTGCACCGTGTCACTGCCCGCATCCAGCCTGCCTTATCCTGGAGGACGGTGGGCACATGCTCCTGATGAGCTCAGGCCGGACGCAGCAGCGTCCAGCGCGCGCTGCAGGAAGAAGGGCAGGCCAGTGAGGACGGCCAGGGCCCAGCTGTGGGCCCGATGAAACTTCCACTTCTCACCAGGAGACTGTGCTGTCTGCTGACGGGCAGGCCACGGGCCTGGGTGCTCTTCCCTGGCGACTGGAGCCTCTTGGTAACCTCTGGATGCCCCAAGCCAGGGCCTCAGCTGCTCCCTCCAATGGCACAACCCCCTGCAGAGGCGTCTTTTTTTTTTTTTTTTTAGGAGGACTCGGCTTGCCTGGAGAGCAACAATTTAACCCCTTAGAAACTTTTCTGGAGGGAGCAAGAGGGTGTGGGTCAAAAGCCACCACATCAGGGCTGCCACTCCAACTTTAACTTCTTTGAGGACCAAATGAGAAGCAGTGATGGCTATTAGTGAGAACCGGTTTCTTCTTCCTCCAAAAATATCTGCCAAGCAGGGCCCGAATTTCCTCTAGTGATTGCCCTGTCCGATAAGAAAAAGTGACCCAGAAAGGATGTAATGAGACAGGGGCAGGGCTCTGGGTATGAGTAGAAAGGAGAGACGTTGGCTAAGTGGGGGAGGGAATTGGGAAGGCCTCTGTCTGTCCTAACATATGCTCCAGGTAAAATTTCCAGGGAAAGGTCATCGTAAAAAGTTCACTCAGAAATAAGCTCACCTGGAAAGCTCCAGAGTAGGGATGTTGGGAACTGATCAATCTGGCCCCATTGAGGTTGACCCAAAGGACCCCTGTGACTGTCAGAGAAAGCTCCTTAGGGATGTCACCCTAAGTGATGGACTTGCCCCAGGAGAGAGCAGGAGGGGCGTATGTGCTGATGGGGGTGGGGAGGATGTCCACTGTATTAACAAGAAAATGAAAGAAGCAACAGATGCTAGCCCCCTTTCAAAACTGAACCAGGAATGCTTCACTTGGAGCAGAATCAGAGAAAAACAAGAGTGCTTACTCTGAGCCCACCCGAAGTAGGCACATTTCCACAGTGGAGGAAAACCTCAGGGTAGATCCTGACTCTTTTTCAGGGACTTGAAAGCCACCAAGAACCAGAGCCAAAGAGGACAGTCAGTCAAGACTGGCCACAGGATTCGACTCCTCCACCTCCCCTCTATGCTGTTGGAACCCTCGCTTACCCTGGGCTCCAAGGGTGGGACATAGGTCATGATCTCACACCGGGCCGAGCCACAGGGAGGCTTGAGAAATGCTGGGGCCTCCCAAACGGTTTCATGGTTCAATCCTAGGCAGCCACTGTCCTGATCACTCCCTGTCACTGCCTGAGAAGGGCAGTGGGTGCAAGGGAAGGACAGCCTCTTTCCTTTGAGATCTGAGATTGTTCCCACTGCCTCAGCTTCCTTAAGTATATAGCCCCTTTCTAGGTGGTGACTGCAGAAATAATTGGGAATGGTGATTTCGTAGGCCTTTGACACAGAAGAACCTTTGAGTTTCTTCCATTTGTCATCAGAAAAAATACAGAGGACTCAATTTGCATGACTTTGCGGCAAACAATTACATCTCCCTACGGGTGTGGCCTGAAGTTCCCAAACTTTAGAAAAAGCAACCAGGAGCAAACAAACCCTGAAATCCCAAAGTATTTTCAGCTAGTGGCCAGCCTGCTAGAGCACATGTAAATTAAATAGGAAGCTGAGGAGTAGGGGAAAGAGTAGCTGTGAGTCACAGTGGAAAGAATCCAGAAAATTTCGGAATACTGTCTGTCACACATTCCTAGGGGACACTTCTGGTTTTGTGGGAGATGAAACATTTTGCATGGGGCATGTTATGTGTGTGTTGTGTGTGCGTGTGCGTGTGTGTGTGTGTGTGTGTGTGTGTTGAGGGAGTGTTTTTCTTTCTCCAAATAATGAACACAGAGTTAAAGAAAAGGTGTTCATCCTTTGCTGTCTGGTATTTATTCTGCACAGTGACTTTAAAACACCCCTGCAGGGGGAAGTCATTCAGGAGGACTGTATGTCATTTCCCTGCGGTTCCTTTACACCCACACACGGAGGCGGCCACACTCAGGCAATTGCTACCTGCCAGAGAGACAGCCACTGACACCAGAAGGGAGGTGGTGGGGAGCGGGCTGGTTCTGGGGGCTCCAGTGGGTATGGGAGGCCTGTTCTGAGCAGGCCACAGCAGAGCAGCCATGGCTGGCAGTGATAGGCTGGGTAGCGGGACAGAGGCCGGCACTCTGTGAAGGGACCTCTTCCAGGACTTCTGCCTTCCAGCTCTCCTGGGCATGAGAAAAACTAGTCTCTGCTAGAAATGAACCAAAGCCGGAGGCAGTCTGGCTTGTCTCCACCCAGACAACCTGGTCCCCTAAGTTTGTGGTAAGAATGAACTTGAAGCTTTAGGTGGAGCAAAAGTTGACCATGATGGCTCAAACAATGAGAGTGATTGGATGTCATGTGACCTAATCTGATGCATTCATTGAGTTTAGGGTCTTTCTGCCTCCCCTATATACCTAACCTCCTTCTTCCCTCCCCTGTATTTTTAGAAGTTGGGTGTTTTAGAATATAATTGTTACTGTGATGTTCCTAATCTGTCTCTTGGCTGTTATAATTTTCCCCCTGTTCTCAAGTTTCTTGCAGACCCAGTGAAACCGCACACAAAACAAGAAAACCCCAGAAACCTTAACAGATGAGACACTTCTTAAAGTTTAACTTTATTATAACCAAAAATGCTTCAAATTAAGTTCATTCTGTATGTTGTAAGTTATTTTGGAAATTTATACTTTAAAATGTAATGAACTGAATCATTTTTTTTAGAAAGCCAAATTTTACATACTTTTATTTTAATCATCTAACAAGGTTATTTCATATCTGTAGACAGAACTCAAGTAAGTATTATACATTTTAGTGACTTTAGTGAGGGAATGACAATAAACAGTTTTATTTAAGGCTTCACAATTTCTGAATTACTAGCCTGAAAAGTCCGGTGGGTGTGCCCAAGGTTCGGAAACTAGAGCGCCCCCTACAGACCACGTATAAGTAAGGGCATCTGCGTTAGAGCCTGCGGGGCTCTGGGGTTGGGGGAGTAGATGGATCCGGGTTCGCCCTCTCCAGGGATCAGAAGGGCTGAGACATCTGTCTTTTTCACGCCTATAGTTGCACTAGAATAAGATTCCCAATTTATCTTCATTTTTTAACGCCCAGGCCACAAGACAAGTCTTTCTCCAAAACGATGGCGAAAAAATACATCAGACCTCCCTGATTGGACCAGGTGTAAGAGAACGATCAGATTTTGGAGTGATAATGGAGAACCCGCCTCGGTTTCCTACAGAATCCATGTAAGGTTCTCCTGGACCTGAGTCACCCCGAGCAGGTCGTGGAAGCGATAGGTAGGAAACCCTCTGACATCTGGGCCCAGGGCCCTGGGCGCACTGCTGAGCGCACGCGGGCCTCTGCGGTTCCATCTGCTCAATGGGCAGGAATCCCAGCTGCCGCCCACCGGGGGCCCGACCTCCTCGATAAAACCGGATAATTAACAGGCTCTTCGGTCTCAGACTGCTGTCGGGACTGAACTGGGTGGCGGCGCGGCAGCCTTGGCCAGGCACCCGGCCCGGAGCGGGCGCGCGGGGCAGCCTGGCGTCTGGAGCGCTGAGCGCGCGGGCCGGCTCCGGGCGGGAGCCTGTGGCGCGGAGTGGGAGCGTCAGTTTGCGGGCAGCCTCTGAGCACGAGGCGTTCGAGCATTTAGAGACCGAAGCACAGGCCGCCGCACGGAACGGGGTGCAGTGTGGCGTTGAACCGCGCACGCCGGCCCCGGGGAGAGAGCGGTTCTGGGCGCGGCTCCTCGGTGGGCGCAGCGGGGAATGGGCGCGGAGACCGTCCCGGCCTGGAGAGACCTCTGCTGTCTGGTTCTTCGCCCCGGGGCTTTATGTCGTTTCAGATTATCTTAAATGAGAGATCTGCAAACTGCGTGTTGAATGCATGCCTCCTGCGGGCAGAGACTAGGCCGCATGCGCACTTTGGCCTCTCGCCTCCCCCCACCCTTCATCTCCCCGGGGCCACCCCCACCTTCTGATGTTTGGACACAGAGGGAGGATGGGGGGCGCGAAGCGGGTTGGGGGTGTTGCGGGATCCGAGCTGCTGACCAAAGGCCTAGGGCTGACCCCGCCCCTCCCCCCACGCAGCCCGTCTTGCTGCAGGACCCTGGCTCGGGGGCGCCCCTGCAGGCAGCTCGAGGGACTTGGGCCGCCAGGGCGGGACTCGAGGGCTCCCCATCAAGGTCCTCTGGGAGGGGCTACGCGCCACGATCTCTGCGGGGACCCGGCCCCGCACCCCCAGATTCCCAGATTCCCAGCCTCTGACCAGCCCCGGCTTGGTTTCCACGCGTGCTTTCACTGCTCCCCTCCTCCCCAGCTTTTTTTTTGAAAGGCGCAAACATCCCCAGCTTTAATGCGGCCCAATTATCTCCTTTGCACGACTTGAAATGTTTCTCTTTAACTCATTTCAATCTAGTAAATATGCTCCAGCAAGTAGCTAATTTCTCAGGGATGGCTTCGCCTCGCCATTTGCATATAAAGCGCGCCCGGGGCCGGCCCCACCTCGGGCTGCGGGAGTCCCTTCTCCAGGTGCGCGGGTCGCAGGCAGCCGGACCTCCTCCTCCAGGGAGGGCTCCTGGGTTTGGCGTTGGGAAGGCGGAAGCGGGCATCCGCGCTAGTGCGGGGGCCAGCCGGGCAGAGGGGCCGCCCTCTGCTGAGCGCGCCCCGCCCCCGCCTCTGCCGCCCCCGCCTCCGCCGGCCCGAGGAGGGGCAGGGGCGCCCGGTGGGTGCGGCGTCAGCGCCAGGCTCGGGGGCGCATTTATCCTCAAGTGCGTTTATTAAATCGCGCCTGGAGATGGATGGACGTGGGTACAGGGGAGCAAATCGCAGGGCTCAGTTGAGCAATCTTCTGGCTTTAAATTCCGAATAAAAGTCTCGAATATTCCCGGGTCAGGGGGGCACTGTCTCATTAAAACCGCTCTCGTCCTGAAACTGCAATGCAGACATTAAAGTGCAGTATTTTTCAATTAGAGCTGACGAATTCAATCAAAATTCCATAGATTAGGATGAAATGAGGCATGGGTCATTTACAGGGGAATTTAATTGCCGAGCCATTAGACAAATAGTATACTAGCCGTTCCCGCGTTATCCATCATTTCCGACATCAATACCGGGGCCGCGTCGCCCCGTCCCGCGGCCGCCCGGCGTCGGCTGTAAACACTCCCTTCCCTGGATCCTCTGATTGTATCTGATTTCATTTAGGGCCACGGGGGATTATAAATGTTCGCGCAATCAAGTTCATTAGGACTTCAAATCGCATTTCTGATTGGGATCGCTCCGCCGCCGTCCTGAGCGCCTTTCAAGCCCCAGCGCGAGGCTTTCCAAACATCTTGCATTTATAGAGCCTCGCATCCTTTTGTCTTCCGACGCCCCTCTCCGCGCCCCCCCAGCCCCGCGGCGCCCCGCGCTCCTGAGCCTCCTTCCCGGACCCGCCCTGGGCCCCCATCGCCCGGGAGCCGGCTGGGGCGGTGGGCCGGCCCGGCCCCAGGCCCGCGCGGTGGGGGCTCGCAGGCTGCCGCAGAACCGCCCCAGCGGACCCCGCGCAGCCGCGGGCGCTCGGAACCCCGGGGCCTGCAACGGGCGCCGAGACCCGCCCCGCGCGTTCGCGGGTCGCGGGTGGGCGCGGGCGCCACGTCTCCCGCCCCGGTCGTGCGCCGCGGGGAGCAGGCCGAGCGCCTCGGGCCCTGGAGTCGCGTGGCCGCGGGCCTCTGGGCAGCGATCGGGCCGGCTACCCACGGGGACTGACGCCTGGGACCCCTCCTGGGCCGGTCCCTTGCACTCCAAAGACCTGGGTGGGGGCGGCGCCCAGCGGAGCGAGTCTTTCTTCCTATTAGCAAACCCAAGAAACAAAGGAGGAGGCTCTTAGGGGAGATGACAAGAGAGGTTCAAGACATCCCTTCCAGCACAGTTGAAAAATAATAGCTTAATATTAACTGCTTCTCATAAAAATATACTTTCACAGAGATACAGTTACAAGAAGAAAACCCTCATTTCATCCCCGTACTTTGCGCTCATCGCTGTTAGCTGCCTCAGTAATTTAATTGGAATGGAACGTGAGAAATGTGTCATTTTTGAAGAATTTATGCATCACTTCCTAGAAATCTCATTGTGTTAACTAGGAGCCTACTGCGTTCTGTTTAGAACCCATAATCACATTTTTATGTGTCTGTATTACGGAGTTAATGTGACCTCCTGTCTTTAGCAGATAAAAAAAATGTTCTCTTGCCATAACATCTGTATCAAACTCCAGCTTTCATCAAATGCACGGAAACCCTGTTTTTCCAGTGTTCTCCAAACTTACCAACTTTCTTAAGAGCAGGGAAAAGAAATGTGAATGGAAAAAGTGCCTACCAATGAATAATTACACACCAAATTAAAACCCTGCATTAAACATAGTCGACAGCACACACTGCATTTTCAATCATGTTTATTGCTTACAAATTGCATTACAAAGAAATCTACTCTTTTTATTGGCGTGATTAAGCCAAGAGTGTTAGGACTGCAGAAATACCATTCTGGAAGATTAGATGCAGGCTGAAAACCCAGCTAGTTACATTGCAATGGCAAGTGTATAATTTTGCTAAAGAACACGTTTAACACACAAATGAGGTTTGGGCTGTCATTATGGCATCATAAAAGAGTCAACTGAAAATTATATTTATTTATAAACACATTGCCTATAAAATGCACATATTTAATACAAAGGAAGCCGGCAACTCCATAATCAATATTTTAATTACTGAATTTTTTATTATGGCAGCACAATTCTGTATGATACTTGACGAATCTATAGTTTTCCTGTGCTCTCCTTTCCTTTATCATTTGGGCTAAAATCTTTCTTCCTGTTTTCCTTCCCTTTTAATTCTGGGGAGAGCAGGTTGGTGGGCGAGGGTAAGACCGTTTGCTTATGCCGCCACCTGCAGGACTCTATGAAAATGAATTTCAGTACTTCTGCAATATTCCACAGGGCTCTAGATGCGCGATTTTATTAAATTAATTTTTGTTTTAACATTAGGAAGACGCTAACAATTTCAAGACACATCCTGGAGCTTGAAAAGCATTTTGATGCTCCCAGACTATACGTAAATCCCAGAAATAAAATGGAATATTGATCACAGTTGAAACTTTGGGGCCTCTGACTATCCCAGCTACACATAGAAAATTTGACTGAAGAATAATTTATCCTCGAAACGATGGAACAAAAGATACAATGCTCCTGGTGTGCCAGTTGGTCCTCAGGCAGGCCTCGAAAGATAGAAAAGCACTTGGCAAGATAACAGCATTCGGCACTGTAGTGATTGGACTGCTTCTTAGATGCTGCATGTGGGCAGGAGGCTGGGCACTGGAGTGGGGCCCGGGCATTCTCCAAGCCTATATTTTACACCGTTTCTGTAGAAGGTTAAGTGCTCTTTGCAAAAGTTCAACAGCCTGCCCCATCAGCATGTGTCTAAAAGGTTATTTCAGAAATTGGAAACTGACAATCATAAACAGTTATTGGAATTAGCAAATGCTCCTTAGACCTAAAAAGTGTCACTGGCTTTGATTTCCTTCAAGCCATGCTGAACTGATCATTATCAAGTAATTTAAAATTAAACCAACACAAAAACACCAAAAAAGACTGGCCCAATGCAGGGTTCAGAATTTTAAACGTAACAGGTCACATAGTGCCTGGTCCATGTACTAACCGCCCGTGGGCTGTGGATTGGGTCTGGCAGTCCAGCTGTGACCATTTCATCCTGCCCCAGGGATGGCTGGTGTGGACAGAACCCAGGACCAAGCTTCCCAGGACCTCTGTTGGTGGAGAACCTCATTTGTGTGTTTTTGAATTCTCTGTTGGTCTGATGACAAGTAATAATCAAAGATATTCAATAAAAGCTGGAGGAAAAATATTCTGCTTTAAAAGTAGAAACAGCAGATAAGAACATAATTCACCCTTTCGTTGCCTTCTGAATTTTGAGCCACGTGAATGCACCATTCAAAACTAAATTTGAAATTAAAGAAAACGATTTAGGCCTTATAGAGTTGAGTTTATGTAGTATACTCTATCAGAAAAATGACGTTCAATGTGAACTGTACATGAAAGGAAAATATTTTTAGACCCTTTAATAAAAAAAATAATACCAGGATATATTTTGTTCAGTGGAAAAGAAGTGAGCCGGGAGAAATTCTAGTCCCAAAGTGGAATAATTTTGCAGACATTCATCTCCACTAACCGACCCCCTCCCTCTTTCCTCTCCCTGCTGCCCAACTTCCCTCCCCTCTGAGTCTTGTCTTCTGCTTCTCCTTCCTCTCCTCCTCCTTTCCTTTCTCTTTCTTTCTTATCTGTGTGGAACTGTGCAAGTCCCTTAATTTGAGAACTTCCAAACACCCGTAGCACAGAGCACAGCCAGACACGGTCACTGAAACAACACATTTTTGGGCAGTGAGTTTATTTTTTTGCCTTCACAAGGCAAATGGCTGGCAGTGAATTCTACAGAACTGTGAATGAATTCCACCTCGTCTGGTGATTAGGACAGGCGCAAACAACCACGCTGGTCATTGTTTATGCCACAGTCACGGCCGTAAGCCAGGAACGGCGTTCAGCACATCTCCACAGCCACCAGAACGCAGGTGACTCAGAACTGGTTTCTAGTGCAGACTTGTTCCTTACTAATGCTCTTGCAGCCATGATGTCATGTTCCTGGGAAGCTGGGGGCCGGGTAAAGGATGCCTGACACCTTAGGAGGACTTTTGCACCGGGGTCCATGTGGACCAAGAGCGCTAGGCTGGAGGTCTGGGTGCCGCATTCCGTATGGTGTTGACTCGGTGGAGCGGGGTGGAGGGAATACTCATGGTAGAAGTCACATGACTGCCTGTAGGACACTGTGATGCAACTGGCCAGGGAAGCCTCACAGTGTGCAGACTGCCACCTGCCCTGGGGGTATGGGAGCCCATATTCCACACAGAGAGGCAGCCAGAGAGAAGGTGGCCAGGGTGACAGCCCTTCCTCCCCAGGCCTCCCTGATGTGCCCCAGTTCTCCAGCAGCTCTGCAAGGAGTTGTCCTTCTTCACTCGGCTGTGGGCTCCCTGAGGAGGGGGCACCCGTCAAGTCTGCCTTGCTGATGGTGGGGCCCCGGCCCTAGCACTGGGCTCCACCACACGCTCAGACCTGCAGAACTGCGCCCACTCCAGACCTTTGAAGCCTGAATCTACATTTCAACAAGATCCCTTTAGGGCTAGAGAAGACCTGCCTTATGCCGGATGTCCCACCGATTCCCAACTGAGTGGGAGGGGCCAGACACTTTCACTTCCCAGGTAAGCCAACTGAGCCAATTTCAGCTGAGTAACTGTTCTTGTTGCTCTGTGGAGGAGCCTGGTTCTGAACCCCTCTCCAGGGTGTTACCTGGGGCTGCACCCACCTTCCAGTGCACTGCGTCCCTTCCCAGGACAAAGCCATCTTCCTCGAGTCCCACTGTGACCACACCCGAGACCTGCAGTGTGGCTCCTCGTGGTCTGTCCAGTGACCTTCAGAATCCTCGGTCGGGAGGCCGAGGCCCTCCTGAGCTGCCCCCCCAGGCTCCCCAGCCCTGCCTCCCTCCAGCTGCCAAAGTATGGGGACCCTCCCCTCCAGGAGGATGAATCACTGCCCCTCCCCTGAGCCCTGCGCTTTCCTGCGCCCCTGCCTTTGTTCAAGCTTTCCCCTGGATACAGTGGGGACCCCTGAAAGTCCATGCAGGAGGGACTTGGGGAGAGTCCTGTGCCTGCGGTGGGGGTATGGTTGTGTGGACACTGTGTTCACATGGCCCTTTTGTAGGACAGGCCAACTGTCCATCTCAAAGGGCGAGTGCGAGTGGCTCAGCTGGCGCTGGGGATGGTGCCCCTGCCTTGGCAGATCCACTGTGTTGAAATCTGACCACCCCCAAGGTGCAGCCTGGCTTCCTCCTTGGTGACACGCACCCTCACTGGGTGGCCTTGCAAGGGCCCCTTTCACTCCCACAGGGGGCGTCACTCGTGGTGCACACAGCATCCTGCCTCGTGCCACAGTTGCTGGCTGGGGTCTGAGCTCCCCTTCCGGGCTGCACCAACGGGAGGACGTGCTTGTCCCCTCTGAGGCTCACCCTGGCAGCACCTTGCCCTGGAAAACAGGGAGCCGCTGCTGAGAGCTCCGGCCACAGGGCATAGTAACAGAGAGTCTGACGTCTAGCAGAGCCAGCAAATCGGGAGACGACTGCCACTGAAAACACAGTTTATCACTCACTGGTCCCAAGAGGAGGGGCATGCCATGCCACAGGGGGCCACGCAGGAAGGACCAGGGTTGACCAGGAGGTGGGGGGAGGAAGGACAAGGCAGGATAAGGCTTAGGGTTGGCCAGTTTGACTCACGTCAGCAGGCTTTGGGGCACAGGGCTGTCCCGAGTTGCCTGGCACCTGGCTCTGGGGTGCACAGTGATCTGGAGTGTGACAGCCGGGTGACAGAGCTGGGTGTGAGCTCTGAGCTCTGGACTGGTTGGTTTATGTTTGCAAAGCATGCCCCGTGTCTGGTTGTTTACTGCCTCCAAGAATTGGGTAGCTCGGGGAGGGGCAGTCCCTCCAGGGCCAGCGGGGCCCCAGATAGCGACGCGTCAGACAGAGACAGCAAGAGGCAAGATCACCGCGGTCCGCGCCGTGCAGAACATCTCTCTGCCGCGTGATGCTCAGGTTGAGCTGACGGCACCCTCTACCAGCCTGTGTCTGTTCCTGGCACCTGGCGCGCGGGCAAGGGTGTCAGACAGAAGAAGACTGGTACGGGAAGGGAATGCCCAGCTCACCGCCCGCCCGTGCCTCCCGGGGAGCTCTAGGCTGTAATGTGCTCGCAAGCACAGCGGGCCCCCGGAAGGCGCCCGGGCTGTGGACCGGCGTCCTCCCCACGTGCAGGCCCGGCTCGCTCTGGGGACAGAGGCTCCCCAGGTGGCTGTCCCCAGGAGGGGTGAGAGGCCTCTCCTCGGTGGGCAGAAGGCCTGAAGGCTTGGACAAATAGGTACCCAGCAGGGCCTCGAAGAACGTCATTTCTTTCATCATCACTTTGTTGTCACATCAATGAGAAATAAAATCGATTCCTGAGCCAGCCAATGAATCTGCTTCCTTGAAAGTGTTTCTGCAGAAATGTTTAAGAAGCTGGTGATAGCACAGCCATGTTGTGGGCCTTAAGGACACTGAAGTTGTTAAGGTCCCTGAAAATGGCCACAGCAACAATAAAAATCGACTCCTGGCCGGGGACGCTGTCTCTCCAGCACCTCCCAGCCCCGAAGCCGTGCATGTGAGGTGGACTGGCTTGTCCATGTGGTCCCGGTCTGAGTGCGGGCGTGCATGGCTGTGCCTTGCGACGGAACAGTGTCCTGTCGGGGGTGGGGGGCAGGCTCCTACCTTGTGCCCTGAGCTGCCAGGATAGGGTCCAGCCACGCACAGCCCCGAAGTGGGATAAGAGGGTTGGAAAATGAATGAATGGATGAATACAAATTGTTGTAAAATAAAAATTTCCAAAGCCTATGATAGTCATCCAGATGCATGACAACACGTGCTGCAGTGTGACAGTGCATCGCCTGTGACTGTTTTTGGGTGTGTGGCAGTAGGGGGTGCTCCCACAAGGTTCCCTGTGCCAACATTTATTCCTTGACTTAACCCATGCCCACCGCTGTGGCTGCCGTCACTCAGCAGTGCGCTGAAAACTGGGCAGATCATCTTACTTGTTGTTATTAGTCTTCCTCAAATGCACGTGCAGCCCACCATCTATTTCGAGGGTTACTACCAGAAGTGTTTCGAGTCTCTCTTTGTACGTTTGCTGAGATGGCTCTGTGACCAGAAACATGCTGCAGGCGCTTAACTCCGGTTTATGGAGTCAATTAGCCTAGGTAAAGCTGTTTTGCTTAAAACCGCAGTGTCGGAGACCCTATCTATGGTGACGATGAGGGCTCACTGTGCCTTTTAGTTTAACCTTCGTCAAAACGCACTTTCAAGACCGAGCGAGCACCCTGGTAGCCCCGGTTTCACGGGTCCCTCGCGAGCAACCCGGGAGGCAGAAAAGGCTTTTTTGTTTATTACCAATCCCACCTCCACGTGCACCTGAAGCCCAGCGAGGTTGGCGCTCCCGTCAGTCACACTGGAGCTCGAGGGGGACGGCGGGTCCCACCCTCACCTGTCCACACTCACGGTCTTCTGCACGCAGCCTCCACGGACGGGCAGACAGGAGGGCGAGAGCCGTGGCTGCCACGTTCTGGGTTTCAGTGCAAGACCCCTTCCGGCTCCAAAAGCAGGTACCTCTGCAGGGACTTCGGCAAGGGCAACAGGGGAATGAGGTCCCAGCACCGCCTGCCAAACAGTCTGCGAAGGGCACAGCGGCAGAGGTGCTGCAGGCAGCGGGGGGCGTGGGCCGAGGCGAACAGGGACCGGTAGAAAGGCTCGTGCATCTGGAAGAAGGGAAGGCAGGCGGGGCACAGTCTGTGTGCGCGTGGGGCCAACACGCATTTCCTTCCCGGCTCCCCACAGCTGCCTGGTCCCACTAACCACGCTGGGGAGAGAAGCACCATTCTGGGGCAGCTGTCCTCCACCAAAAGGGTCTGGGACTTTCCTAAAGCTCAGTTCCTGCCGGGTGGGAGGGGGCTCTGTTTCGGGTCACTTCAGGTAACACAGGTAGTGTGCTAGGACCCCACTTTGCTCCAGCCGCTTTGCACAACAGCCCTGCAGCTGCGGGCGTGGCCCAGTCGTGGCTCAAGTCCATGACACAGGAGGGGAAATTTTTCTAGAAGCTTCTGGAAAAAAAGTGCTCTCACTTCTTTTTAATGGACAGTCACTCACTGCGGACTTTGCCGTGTGTAGACGTAATGCCCACAGCTGCCGTGGGCAGATCTTGAGCCAGGAGAAGAGGACGCTACACACGGGACCGGACTGGCGCATCCTGGTGGAGCCAGAACCGTGGATTCGGGGGGCTCCGACGCCCACCTTTCTTTGGACGCCAGCTGGGGAGCCTTGACCTTCCTCAGTCCTGCCTGCAGCCGACAGCACCCCAGCTGTAGTGGCGGGCTCCCGGGTGGGCGGCTATTGAGGCTCCCATGCAAATACGCCCAGCTTCCCTGTCTCCTTCCCACCTAGGATGTTTTTTTTTTTTTTTTTTTTTTTTTTGAGACAGTCTTGCTTTGTTGCCCAGGCTAGAGTGAGTGCCGTGGCGTCAGCCTAGCTCACAGCAACCTCAAACTCCTGGGCTCAAGTGATCCTGCTGCCTCAGCCTCCCGAGTAGCTGGGACTACAGGCATGCGCCACCATGCCCGGCTCATTTTTTCTATATATATTAGTTGGCCAATTAATTTCTTTCTATTTATAGTAGAGGCGGGGTCTCGCTCTTGCTCAGGCTGGTTTCAAACTCCTGACCTTGAGCAATCCGCCCGCCTCGGCCTCCCAGAGAGCTAGGATTACAGGCGTGAGCCACCGCAACCGGCTCCTCGGAGGATTTGTATTTACCCGATATCAGCAGTTTCCTCACCTGAAATACTTCTTCCGGAATCACCTCCCTCCAGGACTCCGACACGCGCAGCTGAGGGTAGGAGTTGAAGAGAACCTCAATGACCGCCGGGGACGGGGCACAGGTCTTCAGTACCTGGTTGGGAGAGGCCAAGGCCAGCATCGGGTGACTGGGTTTGGGGTGCAAGTGGGGGAGGGTGGGCAGAGGTGGGGTCTGTACTCTCTAGCCGTGTGGCCTCACCGTGCCCAAGTGGCACAGGGCACAGCGACAGCCACGGTAGGACAGGGCTGCTGCAGGGGTTGAATGAGATGAGTTCAGGCACAGAAGGACACAGGTAACAGCTCTGCCAGGGGGCCCTTCTTGTCCCCACGGTGGCTCCTGTGAGAAGCCTGGGCAGAGCGCTCCAGCATTCTAGTTCCCAGGGGGATATGCCCAGGGCTGGGCAGGTCCGCTTTGCGCCCCGAGGGCTGCTCAGAAAAAAGGAAAGAAGTTCTGCTGGGAGGAGGTCTGGCCCGAGGATGATGTTCCCAATTCTTACCTCAATTTTCTAAGATGTCAGGAAATTGATGGTTGGGGGAAAAGAATTGTTTTGCTGCTGAATTTCCTCTTGACTTGGCCTTTACATTTTATTTTTGCAGTCCCCACTGGCAAAGATTCCAATTTTCTTTTAGTTTTTTTAGAGACAGAGTCTTGCTCTGTCACCCAGACTGGAGTGCAGTGGCACAATCATAGCTCAGTGTAGCCTCCAACTCCTGGGCTCAAGCAATCCTCCTGCCTCAGTCTCCCAAGTAGCTGGGACTACAGGCGTGAGCCACCACACCCCAGCTAGCTTTTTCTATTTTTCGTAGAGATGAGGTCTCCTATGTTGCCCAGAGACCTGTTTGTCCTGGACTGATCTCAAGCTCCTGGCTTCAAGTGATCCTCCTGCCTTGGCCTCCCAAAGTGCTGGGATTATAAGCATGAGCCACTGTGCCTGGCCTGATCCTATTGTCTTTGCAAATTTATAATTCAAGTCTATCAGCTTCATCATAAAGATGGGAACACTATATGCTTTTGTAAAAAAAAAACAAAACCTTTTTAATTATGGAGAAATTTGAACATGCACAAAAGTAAACTGAATAGCACAATAAATCCCTGTGTGCCGATCATCAGCCCGTAGGCAATCCTGCCAGATCCACTCCCCCAGTATTATTTTAAAGCAAATTTCACGTATCCTATAGTTTCATCTGCAAATAGTTGAGTGCATCTCTTATAGAGCCTTTAGAAGAAATATAAAGACAATATCATTATAACACCTGAGAAATTAATAATAGTTTCTAAATATATCTAATATAGAGTCAGGGTTTAAATTCACAAATTTCTCTTAAATGCTAGTATGTTAACAAAATATTTCGTTTGTTTGAATAACAATCCAGATAAGCTGACACAGAGGGATTGGGTGACACGACTGAGTTTTAGGTTTCTCTTTTTTGTTTCACGTGATTGATGTGTTGTAGAAACGGGGCTGTTTGTCCTGTAGAGTTCTCCCTGGTGGGGTTTTGCTGATCGGGTCCTTGTGGGGTTCGTGAACATGCTGCTCTCTCCCTGTTTCTGCAAATTTGTAGTGAGATTTAGAAGCTTGACCAAATTCAGATTTGATTTTAGAGAGGGGCAGGGCAATTTCATAGAGACTTTTTTTTTTTTTTTTTGAGACAAGGTGTTGCTAGAGTACAGAGGTGCCATCATAGCTCACTGCAGCCTCCAATTTGTGGGCTCAAGCAATCCTCCCACCTCAGCCTCCCAAAGTGCCAGATTACAGGAGTGAGCCACTGTGCCCAGCCTCTTTAAGTCTAACATTTGCCAAGTGTTATAGAATTGCTTTTCCTATTTCTTGGTTGAGAGAGCTGAAGTTATGGCAAATTTCTGAGACCAGCCACCACATATCTGCAGCATATGATGACCACAGCCAATAGTGAGCCGAGCTCTCCAAACACCGAGTCACAAGGAAGGAGGGATTGAAACCACTCACGGCCGCTCACTCTGCCACGCGCCTCCCTGCTTCACAGTTCCAGATCAAACCCTCTTTAACATGCAGAAAGACAAAGTAAAAAAAATCATATTTTTTTGTTCAGAGATAACCACTATTAACATTTTGCGTATGCTGATGTGTTATGCATTTAGACAAAAAAAATTAGTGTCCAGTACATACCAAAAATGGGTGAATGCTTTGCAAATAATTTCGAAACTTGATCTTTTTTCCACTCAAAATAGATTGTGAAGAATTAAAAAATGAGCATTTTGAATGAGGTGGAAGAGGAGGAGGAAAATGAAAGAAGTGAGCATTTCAAGATTTTTGTAGCTATATTTTATTTTATGAAGATGTCATCATGTGTTCAATGAATAAACTACTGTGAGTTGCCTTAATATTTTTTGATATGATAACAATGGACATCCTTGCATATAATCCTATCTCTTTCTCCCCCCAACCATTCTTATTTAAATATCTACTTGAATTCCTGGAAATAGAATTGCAAGGTCAAAGACTACGTACATTTTAAAGCTTTTAAAACATACCACCAAATTGTGTGTGCATAAATTGGTGCACTTTTTAAATAACTGAGTATGAGAGGGCCTCTCTCTCCCACCCAAAGTATCTCACTAATTATTTAAATTTGATAGGCTTAGTATAGAATATTTACTTTTGTTTTGGTTGACCGTTGTTTTTCTTCCTTTGTAAACTGCTAAATTGTATCTTTTGCTCATTTTTCTATTGGTGTGTTCCTTTTTTTCATTGATTTATAAGTATACTTTATTTATTAAATTTATTTTTCAGGTAGGTAATCATTTTGCAAATAATGCTAATTTTTCTCCTCAATTTTCATATTTCTTATTTTATTACATTGGAGCTTTTTTTTTTTTTTTTTTTGAGACAGAGTCTCACTTTGTTGCCCGGGCTAGAGTGAGTGCCGTGGCGTCAGCCTAGCTCACAGCAACCTCAAACTCCTGGGCTCAAGCGATCCTCCTGCCTCAGCCTCCCGAGTAGCTGGGACTACAGGCATGTGCCACCATGCCCGGCTAATTTTTTATATATATATCAGTTGGCCAATTAATTTCTTTCTATTTATAGTAGAGACGGGGTCTCGCTCAGGCTGGTTTTGAACTCCTGACCTTGAGCAATCCGCCCGCCTCGGCCTCCCAAGAGCTAGGATTACAGGCGTGAGCCACAGCGCCCGGCCATACATTGGAGCTTTTAAGTTCAATGTTAAATAGCAACATTAATAGCAAGCACGATCACCTTACTCCTAATTTTAGTAGGATTGTCTGTAATGTTTTGCCATACACATAATCTTAGATATTATTAATAGTTTCAGCTAGATACTCTGTTCTATGTCGAAGAAATATCCTTTAATTCCTAGGTTACTACAAAGTTTAAATTTTATTTTTTGCCTTTTTCTAACAAAGTTGACCCAAAAAGATTTTCCAATGTTGACCCATTTTTGCCTTCAAAAAACAGACCCTATTTGGCTATTCTTCTGTATAGAACTTGCATATTATAAATTTAAAAAATATAAAAAATAATTATTTTATCATTATGTGTGTTAAACATATTATATAGACCATGAAAACACTACATAATTATTATATATAATATAATGCCAGATTCTGTTTGCTAATATTTTTGCATCTCTTTTAATAACTAATATTGGAGGGGAGAGATCTCCACTGTATCTATGAATAAGCACCCTTTTCTCATTTGAAATGCACTGTAAGTGTATCTTCAAAGTTTTTTTCTTGTTTAGTCTTGTGGGAGGTTTGTCTATTTCATTTTTTTTTCTCCAAGAAATCGGCTATTGGATTTTGTTGATCAGTTCTCTTTAAAAACATTCTAACCCATTACTTTTTGCCTTTATCATTATTAATTCCGTTCTCCCATCTCCTTAGGTATGTTCTGTTTCTCTTTCCAACTCCTTGGATTGACTGCTCAGTTAATTTGGTAACATTTCTTTTCTCTCGTATCATAATAAAAGGAACTTTTAACATCATATGGATTTTCCTTCCTTTGAACATAGGTATGGTCATAGCCACAAGTTTTAAGGCACAGTTCTGTCTTTATTAAATAGTCTGCAATTAAATAACTATTGATGCAGTAGTTACTTGGGAGTGTGTTGTAACATTTTTAAATGGTTAAGTTATTTATTTTTATTTATTTTTTGAGACAGAGTCTCACTTTGTTGCCCAGGCTAGGGTGAGGGCCATGGTGTCAAGCTAGCTCACAGCAACCTCAATCTCCTGGGCTCAAGCGATCCTCCTGCCTCAGCCTCCCGAGTCGCTGGGACTACAGACTACATGCGCCACCCTGCCCAGCTAATTTTTTGTATATATATTTTTAGTTGGTCAATTAGTTTCTTTCAATTTTTTTAGTAGAGACGGGGTCTGGCTCAGGCTGGTTTCAAACTCCTGACCTTGAGCAATCCACCCGCCTCGGCCTCCCAGAGTGCTAGGATTACAGGAGTGAGCCACCACCCCCGGCCTATTTTTAAAAATGAACAACGTTTTACTACTGACTTTCACGTGTGTTGCAATGTGGTTCTAGGCAATGTCTGTTGGGTGGGCATGAGAAGAAGCTGTATTTTGTTTAAAGTTCAATACATACTTGTCACATTTCTCATTTGGAGCTTCTGCACTTTTTTTTTTTTTTGCCTACTTGATCTGCCAAAGACTGAGATATGAACTAAAAATCACCTAGGATTATTTTTTCAGTCCATTTCTTTATTTTAACATAATCTTTTTTGGCACATAAAGTTCCTAATGGTTATCTCTTCACTACAGACTATGTCCTTTGTCGGTATCAAACAAATCTTTTCCCCCTCATTTTGTGTATTTCTCTGGACTTCTTCTATTTGCATATTGACATAAAAATATAGTTTTTGGTTTTTGCCAGAATTCCTCTGCTCATTTTTAAATTTTAACCTTTTTTTTTTTCACTTTGTTTTAAATGTGTTTGAGAGTCTCTGTATTGGTAAGAGGGTACTTTAAGCAACTCATATATATTGTTAAAAATAATTTATTTGGTCTTCCTTCTATCTCATTTTATTATTTTTTATGCTTCTTTTGTCTTTATGCTTCCTTTGTTTTCTGGTTCTATTACATAGGTC